TGGAGGAGAAGGGATTGCGGCGTGACCATCCCCCCTGGGGGGTGATTTCTCGCTTTCTGTCTCTATGTCTCTGTCTGGCGAGCGCACGCGCCCTATAGTGTAAAAGCTCTCAAAAAAAAAAGCTTATCACATTCTCATCCTTGGCTTTTCAAATGAAATAATTTTAACTCCTTTTTTTCTTGAGTTTTCCATCTTACAAGAATTTAAGACTGCTGTTTCCCCTGTGGAGAGATCATGACTCTGCTTCTGATATCCTTTAAACTCTGTGATAAAAGAATTTTCCGATTTGGGGTTTTACTGCTGTAGGAGTTGAAGTAGCCATCATCATTTCACACAGATTTTTAACATTAAAGATCATGACTAAGATCATTAGTCCTGACATACCCTTTTAATTCAGGTTAATGTTTTGGCTCTGAAGTTCTTGAGCCACTCAGTGGTTCCAGGTTCTTAATGATTTTGATTTAGCCAGTATTTTTTATTAAGTGCCTGCCTGCTATGTTCAGAGGCTTAGAAGCAAGAATGACTGTGACCCTTTGTTTTGACCTATCTTAAAACAGGAAACTTAAAATGTTAATTTATCTGAACTCTTGGGTCACTTGCATTTATCTATTTCATTATCAGAGTTCTTTTTAAGTGGTAATACCATATTATTGATTTGTATTACTTGTATGCCCAGATTCCTCCATGCCCATAGTTAGCCAGTTCCTTCCATCGTGTAATTTATTGTTTTTATTACCCTATTCTAATTGCTTTTCATTTTAATTTACTGAGCATTTTTCAGATTAAGATTTATCACAGTATGTGTGCATGCCATTTAGTTGGTTCCTAAAAATAGCAGTACTGGTTTTAGTTTATCGTCTTTACCAGGTCAATTTAGCCAAATGTCTATCTTTCTAGTGGTAATAAGGTATTAAAATTTATGAAATTATTTGTGTGATTATCATTGCAAGAGTTTCTTTTGATAAAATAGGTATTTTTATATGAAATTCTTGCACTGTTTCATGATATATGCCATGATATCCCTTTTAGTTTTTTCAACTTAAGATGTTTTATCTTGTTAGTCCTAAAAATGCATGTATTTATTAGAAACCTAAGACAGTATCTCCTCCTTTATTCTAAAAAGTTCTGTGAAATTCAAGTCTAACATTTGAATCGTATCTGCCATTGTTTCTTTTATATAATTATTTTTTTATTTTAGCTGGTTTCCTTGTGTGATGATAGAAACTACTGCAGCGTAAGGAAGGTTAATGTTAACAGCAGGGAGAGTGACTGATACAGACTAGGAACTTGTTATAGGTTTCTCAAGTATGTTTCTTCTCTAATTCCTTAATTTTCAGCTTATTTGGCAAATTTTAAATGCTGGTTATTAATAAGATAAAGTCCCTAATTTTTAAAGTTTTTCTAATTTTATAGGAAGACATGCTTTATGCCCAACTGACAAACCAGTCAAATATGGTAGTTAGTAATAACTGTATTAAATACTGAAAAGTTATATGGAATTAAAAATATCAACTAAATCTTCC